CAGATAGTAACATAAAAGATCGAATCGAAGATAGATATTTGTAACATCGGCTCCTCCATTACACTGTGTGTTCATATACATTATTTACAGGAATATTTTATAAATTTTTAATACATTATCGAAAGAACTAAACTATTCATAAGCTTTAAAGCCGGAGATCTGGAGAACTAAATCCAAATTGGCAAATAGCGAAGTGAAAAAGTTGCTTAGTAGAGCTGATTTCACAAAACGTCTTATCGAATCTGTTGCCCCATAGATTTTAATCCTTCCATACTGAATTGCCTATTTCAATTGTAGAAAATGAATAGAGATTGCGAATATAATATATTAGCTAATATATTAAAAATAATCATAAAATATCTAGTCATTCGTGCAAATCACATTTCTATTATGATGGAAGCAAACACTTTTCCAATCGAAATTAATTGAAATACGTGATCGGTTAAAGCTAAATTGCTGTTGCTATAAAAGGATATATATAGCATATAGGCTTAGAACTGATAATTATATTTATTTCACTAAAAGTTATATTTCAGCATACAGTATATCAGTCAATGAATTTGAAGGATAACTAATAAGACAACAAGTTTAAGATTATTTGCGATACACTGCACCAAAGAGTGAATTTTTCGATGTGTTTTGGTGGCGGATGGATTATTCTTGGATTTTTCTTATATTGATTGCGGTAATTTAGCTAATTGACAAAATAACTCAGCTGAGCTAGAAGCCAACTCGAACTTCCACATCTCAAGTATCCCTATAAGTTGGAGATAAACAGGAGATAATACAGCTTAAATTCTGGAGATAAACAGGAGATAATGCAGCTTAAATTCTTCGTCGATTCTTGCAATTGTTATAAATACTGTCGAATCGATGTATATTATTCCAATAGAGAAAACATTAATCCAACTATAATCTGTGTGAAATCAATCTGACGAACTATGGTATAATATTGCAGCAAATTGCATTAGCTACTTCACTACTTAACAATGAAGATGAACTCAAACTTATAAGGCATCTAAGGTAAAGAAATAGATTTCATGAAATAAAAAATTTATTTTTGTTAATTTAAAAATTCTGTAAAACTTCTCAAAAGATAAAAACTTAGAAATTTGCTTTTCCGGTAAACAACAAATGCCTCAAGAAGTTATTAATTTAGTTTTTATCTGTTGTTTGCATAAAAAATTAAGTTTATTGAAGTAGTGAAAAAATTGAGATTTCATATTTATTAAATATTTCATGTTCAGGAAAAAAATGAATAGAAGGAAAATATTTCAGTACTCAAAAACAGCTGAAATACTTTGACTTTCTTTCAAGGTTATTGACGTTTTGGCCCGAACGAACCTGTTAACCGCAACTATTTCACTTCATTTTCTGAATGCAGTTTGCAATTTTTTTCCACTTTAAATAAAAGTTTTGCTTCTGACTTCAGGCCACATTCTCTGTCAGTAAAAGTTCAGGTCAAAAACATTTATACACAATTAAATAATTTCGTTTTGCGGTTAGTCTGCGTTCTGCAATTCCGTAGTTACTAACTTGAGTTTGTCCGACGTTCACGCACAGATTTTAACATATACTTTTCTGACTTGAGCAGGATTTGCATGTTGTATCCATTACTTTACTTCCTTCGTTTCACTGATTAAATGCTACTCAGTTATGGAAGGCACTAGATACTTGCAAAATCTTTATTGATTAAATTGACTTTGTTTTTATTTAAGGAAGTGAAAAAATTGTACTGCAATATGAGGTATGATATAAGTAATTCGAATACAGTGATTAAAAGGTCTGCTATACTACTCTCTACTTGTAGAAAGTAACTTCATTAAATCCTATTCAGCACCCTTACTCATAAGAAATGAAGCATTCTAACTTGACTTAGTATTGCTCTTATCTTCATGTATTATCGTTTTTAAACCATTCGGTCTTCCAGATAAAGCTGAGTAGATCCGCGAAGACCGTCTTCAAGATATTAAAATCACTTCGTCTATAGTCTGTAAATGTAGAAAGTTGATTCAACCTCTTCTTCATCATAGCAACTTCTTCATAATATAGTTGTCAGAAGACTTTACAGTAAAAGCATCGGTGCAATACCATAGTCTCCTGGTAGTGTTCCAGTAAATAGACGAAATGGAAGTATGCTAAAGTCCAAAGGCTTTTTGTTTTATTTCTATCTTATCGAGGTCATAAGGTTCTAGCAATTGATCACTGATGGTCAGCTTCCTCATCCCATTTAATATTCCTATTACCATAAACCCAACACAGAAAAACTTTGGGATGTTCGACGATCATTAGAAAGGCACCGTTCCATTTCATTACATTTGACTGTTTTCATAGCTGCCTCAGTCTATACAAACATTGTATAGATTGTAGATATATAAGCTACTATGTAAATGCTTTTTCAGTTACGTACAACTCGACTTGAAAGAAACTATATGTATCAAGGAATAGTCTTTCACTCACTATTTTTGAGCCATCTGTGAATATGGTAAATCCAGAGTTAACTGTCACAAATCCCGACTCCCAGTTTTATCTGGTAGGGTAAAAGCTTGGAGATTCTACTTTCGAAATCCATAGCAGTAACTTGTGTAACTCAGACAACTCTTGAGCATACCGAGGCCATTCAATATTTTATTTGTTCTGAGATAAAGTAATATTCAATTTAATTCGTTTGCTATTATAGCTATTTAACTGCATTTCAGACTATCTGAAGCCTATATGATTTGCGAAAAATTTCTGCCTGTTCTAGAGTGTCTTAAGTGTTAAGTGTAACTATAAACAGAGAACTCCTTCATACAAACTATAACTGGAATGATATATGCTGCAAAGTACCCACTAGAGTTAGGCTTAGATCTATGGCAAAGGCCCTATACTCCACGAGGAGAAAAGAATAACAAGAAGTAAGTAAATTAGTGTAAGTTTAAGTGCATAAACGGCAGCTTATATACCCAATATTACCAATATTACTTTCAATCTTAAAATCGCCTATATGCTGAATGATTTTCCCTTTCTTGAGAGAAAAAGCATCTTCTATATTAGTCTAATCCATTCCGTTGTTCAGCTTTACTGGGAAGACTTTCTTCATGTCATCGATCTTACAAGTATTTTATCATGGAATTGACGGATTGACATTTTACATAAAAATTAATACAGTTTCGTTTTTAAATTACACATATATATATTATGTATGTACATTTTTAAACGTAAAACTATTTTACATGAGAAATGTTTTCATTTTATGAACTAAATTTTATCTTATAAAAAATTATTCAATGGCTTGGGATGTAATCAACAGAATGTTCTTCTATACGATATTTTAATACAATAAAACTAAAAGTAACGAATATATCGCAGTCTAGCAAGAATGTCTCAGGTCTGGGTATTGATGGCTACCAACTCTAGTGCAATTGAAAAGTGTGCATTAGATTAAATTACGTTTTGGAATATTAAATTTGCTTGGGGAAAACAAAACAAATTGCAACGAATTTCATCGATTGCTGCTTGACTTGCAGTGACAGCAAAAGTTATTGTTGTCACAGAAACTTTGCAGGTACAAGGACATCGATCTGCTCGACACACATTCCAGCAGCAAACTGGATAAGCTGTATAGCACTAGACACACTTGTACAGTCCTGGGTAGCTGCATAGTCCATAATTTGCTTAATAGCACCTCATGCCGCAATGTTTTCAATTTCAATTTGTGTCACTAAATTTATTTGTTTTTATTTAATTGATGTGGTTTATCGGGAAGCTTTGTGGTTTCCAGTGAGGTTGAAGTTTATTCTATTCGATTGCATGCTGATCCTTGCATGGAAAAATATAAAATTCAATAAAATGAGTAAGGTAAGAGAAAAATAATTTATCGCATTTCGATTTAATTGAAATAAAATAAAGTTGAACTAGGAAAACATTTCTTTCAATAATAAAAGCAATTATTGGTGTTGCTTCAATAATTTAATTATTTTAAGAAATTAATGTCTGATTTGAGTTATGGATTATATACTTCTATGATTGAAATTGAAAACTAACTACAATTGAAATTATTTGTACCAAAAGTAAAATAAAAATATTTGATTCCAATATTATTTGCCAAGTATATCTTTTATTGATTTCTTACAATGATGTCTTCATAGTGAAGTTAAAGTAACAATCAAGTTCCAATAGAAAATTTCTTCTTTTTGAAATATAGATAGATAACGTTTCCTTCACTCCCAAACTAACATTCATCAACTTAAATTTTATCTAAAATAGATTTAACTTTTTGTTAAATGTAATATTTTGCACCATTGGTTTAACTTTACGTAGATGATATTATTTAAATAAAACCAATAATAGATTCATTTTGCTAATAATTTCATCTAACCGTAAAATGATTATTTTACGTTTAAGATACTATTGAAAATTGTGGACATGCTATTTTGACTAAGCACAGCACCATTCTTTTCGTTACCATAAAATCTAAGATAATATCTTAAATGGGTATTCTAGTTTCCTCCTTTGAACTTTGTTCTATTCAAAACATTACTCATGGAACAATATCTACAGGCTGATATTGACACACAAACCTATACCTACTTAACAGTAGCCGAAAGAGTATATCTGCAAGGAATAAATAATCTTGTAAAAGGAAAAGTGTCAACTTGGTGACTTTTACCATTATTCAATAGATATGCACCACTAGTAAGGGTGTCACTACGGAGTTGTCTGCAGAAGTTGCCAGGCTAAAAGTATGGTTTCTACTATACTAATATGTCAGTGTTCTGTTTTTTTAGACAAAAGTTTAAGTTTTTGTGGAGTTATTATAATACTTTGACGAATTGGCAGAGCAGAATATAGCATGCTTTACATAGATGTTATAGTTCAGAAAATAAGATGAGTTCCGCGATATACTATCACAACATGCCACGACACTATGTCTATTCTAGTACTCTTATAACCGAAACTCTTGTTGTATTACAAAAAAAAGTATTAAAAAAATGACAAATTTTAATTTATAACATATTTTTTTTTGTTTTTGCGGAGGAAAGTTTAAACATGCCTAACGCATCGTCACTATGTCATCACAATAGTGGTATGCCCGGTTTGTTTAGATTAAAAACAATCCTCCTCATAGAATAGAACGGTTTCTATCCTGGTCCCGATGTTGGTTTTTCATTAAAAAATGTTGTTCTCTTCGTTAGCCTGAATGCAGGTGTCGCTTAAGTTTATTTGTTTTTGTATTTAATTTATAATTCATAACATATGACACTAATTTAATGATATCAGCTTAATCATGTAATAATGTAAAACAACAATTTCACTACTAGATAAGAACTCAAGAATTCAGAGTAATGTCTTCTAATAACTTTTGTTTATTCTTGACAAAAACCTGACTACTCTTCTTGTAGTTTTAATGGAATTAAAGATAAATTTAAGTTGTAATTTGGTAAGTACCTACATATTACTCTACTCTACTATTCAATACCTTCATTGAATTGAAGTAAGACATTATTATTAGTATTAGTATTATAATTATTACAGTAGTATATAATTATGTGTAATCATGTCTTTCGATCAAACTAAGAAAAAATACATTTGCCTGACAATTCTAAGACTTTAAGAAATCCTAATAAATTTAGGTATTAATTAAATTTATTTTTGAATATTAATTTAAAAAAATGTAAAACATATTAATGCAAATAATGCAACAAATAATGTGTCTACAAACAAAATAGTATTGAAATGTAAGAAATAATAATAAATATATAATTAATTCAAATATTGTACAATATTGTAGTGGTTTATAATTTCTTTCTAATAAAAACACAGCAAGTGAATTTGTTAATAAAACGTTCATAACAAATTAACAAAACACCAAAAACATGTGCGAACAAGTACATGTGCGTTCAAGTACGGCTTTGGGTCAGTTGGTTAAGGTCTGCTAACTCTGAGCTTCAAATTTGGCAGGGCACGCGTTCGATTCCTGGTACTTGCAGTCTTCAACAATTATTTACTAATAATTAAATACAAGAATTATTTCCAAGACGACTGACGATGGGTATTTGGCAATACTCGAAACAGCTGTATGGTTAGCCAAAAATTAAAATAATTCAAATAATACATAAAATAATTTTTGTTGAAAACCTCTTTATGGAA